TATTAAGAACCTTATCGACATCCAAAGTCTTAAAGTTCAAGACTTTATGGTGCTAAGGCACATTTGGTTGATAGATCTGGAGTTTGGGCTTAAGTGATTAAGCCATTAAGCAATTATTAGGGTTTTGGTGAAACTTTGCGTACACCCCGCATAATTCCTGTACGCCCAGTGTACTGAGTCAACCACCCCGATGGTGGTCAACGCAAAGCGGAGTACGCCCCACGTACACCCTCTGTTGGGATTTTGACGATTTGGGCTTCAGAATTGGGCTCCTTTTTGGGCCAGTTTGACATGGGCCTTGTTGGGATTTTTGAATAAATGTGTTTTGGGCCAGTAGTGGTAATAGATCTTAAAATGAGGCCCGATTAGGGAGTTGGGGCCCAATTGGGAAAATTTGGCCAATAATGGGCCTTATGTATATGGACTTTTGGATAGTGAATTTGATATTGGGCCTTGGCCCGAATTATAGAAAAGGAAAAATGCACTATGTGGACCCTTAGTCAAGATTGATATCCCATGTGTTGAATTAGTATTCATTATTTTGGGTAGTTCAGGATTTTCGGTGAGACAGCGGTAGGAGACTTTCAATCCAATTTAGCACTACTTGCGAGGTGAGTTGTACTCACTATACTAACAGGGTCGAAGGCACCAATGTCGGCCCTTCTTTTCGGATTTTTATCCGGTTTTATTGCATGATGATATGCTTAGTGACCTGTTAGGTCGGTATCCTGGTATATAGGATGATGCTATGTTAGTGACCTGTTAGGTCGGTATCCTGGTATATAGGATGATACTATGATTAGTGATCTGTTAGATCGGTTTTACTATTTGTATATGCTAGCATTTGATATTATGTGTTGATTGTGTGATTGGGGATGGGCCTGTCCACCGTATTTAATAGGGTTAGAGTATTTAAGATGTTTGCATGCATCATATTTTTGTTAACTCTGATTATTACGCTGTAACCCTAATCACGCCTCTACAATAGCAATTCTTCATAGAGTTCTTCTGAGGCGTGATTGTTAATCATTCAACATCTTTGAATCATCATGGTGTTCTTGTTTACTTGTCTTGAATCTAAACGATCTTTTGAGGATTATTTAATCCCAACACCTTCATTTCTTCTTCCGAGGATCTCCTCGCGATATCCTTTGTTGAGTATGTAACTAATCTCTTTTTTAGGGCTATGCAATCTTTCGTAATGTCACCAAAGTCCTCATGGTATGCACACCATTTAGACTTGTCTTTCCAGTTGGTAGATTTGTCCACCTTCCTTGGCCATCTCGCTCTATCGCCAAGATCCTACAAAGCAGATATTAAACCTGAAATATCCATAGAGAAACAGTAGTCAGTAATTTTGGGAAATTCTTCTTCTCCCTTCCTCTTCAAGGGTATTAACCCTATGATTATCGGGTCTGGAATAAGGTTTAGACTTATAGGATCTCTAGGTCGAGGAGTAGACCTTTCTTTTGGTTTATGATATGAGTTTGGTGGGTTGCTCCTCTTTTGGATCTCCTTGTCTTCTTCGAGCCTTATGAACCTTAGGGCTATACTCCTTACTTCGTCTATTCTTTTGCACAAAGCTTAGTGAGTTTCCCAAAATACCACAAACCATACATATCTTTGGGCCTAGCCCTCACATTGGGCCGAACCCATAATAATAGGCCTACCCCATCAAACAATGGACCTAGCCCAACATACATTGCAAGAGTCACAAAGACAACTAGCATCCTACATAGAATACATTGGGCCTAGCCCTTCCTCATCTATGGGCTCAACCCAACATACAATGGGCCAACCTGTCATATAATGGGCATAACCCAACATACGATGCAAGAGTCAGAAAGACAGCTAACATATCACTCATTGGAAAATGATAATTAAAAAAAATGGTGAAGTCCTCCAACCGGACATTCTGTTTCATCTCTCTCGCCTCTCCCTTCCTTCCTCGTTGACTCGCAGCAACTTACAGGCGTTCTCTCGTTTTCACCGGTTATCCTCATCTGTGGTCTTGCTGTTGCTTAGTCCGCTATTCTCGACGCTTCAGGTCTCGCTGTAGCTCTGTGGAGGCAGGTAACTGTGAAGGCATATTTTTACGAGTTAGTTTCACATATTGTTACACAGTTTTATCTCTTTAATCATAAATCACGTTATAATAATTTGTTTGTTCATTAACAGCTGGTTGCTTGTTTGATCATATATATTGTTATTTATTTTTTTTTTTTTCAATTAGGATAGTACAGACTCTACAGAGTCCAACATGTACTTCTTTAATTTAAATTCCTCTAAATTTTCCTACTCACAGACACGATTTTCTACATCTTAATGTTTTTGAACCTGAACGATAATGCTAAACTGGTGATGTTCCCCTTTCGCAAAACTTGCTGATCTGTTGAAGCCAGATTGTAAGACATCTATCTTGGTTCTTGTGAAGTACTCTTGGGTGTTGTATCCTTTGAATCAAAATTACGATTTCTTTATAGATTTAACACCTACACGTTGGTCAACTAAGCCTATGTCACTTTTCACTTAAGTCACATTTGTCTTATAATCTAGCTATCATTAACATCCTCATAGTTGCAGTTGCAACCAGAAGGAAAAACTTGTCTATAATGGGTTAATTAAATTAAATTTAAAAAAGTTTTGTAGATTTTAGTTGAATAGATTGGTTGGCTATTTTCTTGCACCCAACTAAACTGGAAAACAGGTTAACAAATTCAATTAACCAGTTTTAAAACAATTCCCATCTCAATGTTATGGTGATTTTGTATCAATACATCGCTGTATATTGTGGCTCAAGTAGGAAAGCGTGTGCTTCAAAAGCTTATTAGCACAATACTTACTTTTTGAGAGACACAAGAGGTAATTGGTGAAATCAGTTCATAACTGATGGTTTGTGGAGGAGTTTCAGTGCTTACTAGGATACCCATGTATAAGAAATAAATACACAAAATCGTGGAAAGGGTGAAGGGTACTTAAGTCGTAACTTATAATGGTTTTCTCTCTGAACTTCCACAAGGATCTTCATCAACTCGGTGTCGTGGATATGATGTATTTTTAAGTTTTATAGATGTTGACATTCATCATAGTTTCACTAATCACCTTTATAATGCCCTCATTAATGCCAATCTTCACTACCTTCTTGGATGATGAAAAAATTGACACCGGGGAGGATCTGAAACCAGAATTGGGGAGTGCCATTAAATAATCTATGGCTTCTGTTATCGTGTTGTCCAAGAACTATACTTCTTCCACATGGTGTCTTGATGAACTGGTGTTGATCCTTGAGCAGCATAGGACATCCAAACATATTGTAATGCCAATCTTTTATCTTGTGGAGCCCACCCTTGTCTGGAAGCAACAAAGTAGCTTTGGAGATGCAATGGCTAAGCATAGACATATGATGGAGGCAGAGACAAATGCAAATAAAAGAAATAAATGGGCTCAAAAGATGGACCAATGGAGTAAAGCACTTACAAAAGTTGCTGATTTAAAAGGGAAGGATGCAAATGGCAGGTAACAACTTTCTTGCTCATATTTCCACACTTCTTTAATATGTTTAATAAGCATATGAAAAGTCAATATCATCTTGTCCTTATGCATTTCAATACCCTTTTTCATAATCATCAAATAGGCATATTTTTATACATTCAAATTTTGATAAAGATATGCTTGAAATAGAATCTAAATGTATCAATTATGTGATCTCATAAATTAATTTATTTATGTAGGTTAAGCTATCCTGCTAAATTTATCACATTTTCTATGCATTTGTTATTTTATCATGAATTAGTTCATTTAGATAAATCATTAATTTTGATGATTTTGTATGCTTTTTATCAATAAACAAAATTTTGAATATTCGTAATGCATCTACTATTTATATATCATTCTACCCTCAAAGCATATCTTCTTTTATTATGATAAGTTAATGCTCCTGCTTGTAATTAGTAAACGTTAACTTATAACTATATAATGACATTTTGTTTTGATTTATGCAAAACCATTTGGTATTTAAGTTTGATGATTTTGTAGAAACACAATGAAAGTTGGTGGCCCGTTAATGAAATCTTCCGTTACATCGGTGGCTCTGGTCTTATTATAAATAATAAATAATAATTATGACCTTCCACATTAGATGCTTATATGGTTCAAAGTGAAAATATGATATATTTATGTTGTGAAAAACTTAATTAAATAATAACTTAATATGATATAGTTTTGTTTTGTATCTTTGGAAAAAATCTAAATCTCCAATGTGGCATGTTAGTTTTCTGGATTGTGTTTTGTGGTTCTTACTAAAATCAATTTCCAGGCTAGAGGTGGTGCTTATTGATGAAATTGTTAACAATATCTTCCGTAGATTACACATATCCAAAGGGTTTCCGCTACCGCAATTTATTGGGATAGACAATTCCATTAAATTTGTCACTTCGTGGTTGAAAGATGCATCCTCATATAAGACTGATATGATCACTATTTTGGGTATGGGTGGGATCGGTAAGACATCTTTAGCAAAATATGTGTATGTGTTACATTTTCATGAATTTGACACCAGTAGCTTCATTGAAGATCACAGTTGTCAATAGCGACCATAGCGGTCGCTATAGCGAATAGCGTAGCGATGCGGTGGATGACCGCTATATATGGACTAAATAGCGACAGAAAGCGGGCTTTTTAGCGATAGGGCATTTTTTCTTTTTTTGTTCTTTTTTTTTTTGTAAAAATTGGAATAAACGTATTAGGGTTGACGGCGTGACACTAACTAAAATCAAGTCTCATTCGCCTCCCGCCTCTACACTTTGGAATATCTCTGCCTTCGAATCCTTGTGTCCACCTCCAAAGAACCCCATCAGGGTCCACTGCATTCTCTCGAGCGACCTCTCTAGCATCGACCTGCATTCTCTCCGGCGACCTCAGGTCCGATTGGAAGTTTTTGCTATTTTTTTCTTTTCTTTTTTCTATTTTCACTTGGTTTTGCTATATTTCATTTTGGTTTGATGATTAGGCTTAGTATTACACTTCTAATTCATGTTTTGATCACTGCAACTTTCTTAGAAGTGGCTAGTAAAAGAGAAACCGATCCTTGTTGGGCTTATGGGACAAAGATTGAAGGAAATAGCCAATGGGTGCAATGTAATTTCTGTTCTTTTGTGTCAAGAGGGGGGATTACAAGGCACAAGCACCACCTTGTTGGTGACACCGCTCAAGTAGCAAAGTGTTCAAGAGTCCAAGCTGAGGTAAAGGCTTTCTTTAAAGAAGATTTTGATAAGAAGAAACAAGCAAAAGAGGCAATGAATAGCATACCACACTTTGATAATGTTTTCGATCTAGATGAAGAAGTAGATGAAGACAAATTGAACACTTAAAATAGTGAAATTTTATCAAAAGGAAAGAGGCGTTGACCTGTTTCATCCTCCGGATCAACCGCAACTAATAAAAACACAAAAGGGCCTATGCATGTGTCTTACAACCAATTTGATAAAAACACAAAAGGGCCTATGCATGTGTCTTACAACCAATCTGATACAGGGGGGAAGAAAAATGGGCATCTGGTTGGAACTCCACAACATGAACAAATGTGGTTCAAAAGTTTCCATGTTGGATGTATGATGCGGGTGTGGCATTTAATGCTGTGGAATACGACAGTCTAGGGCCCGCAATTGATGCGATAGCTAGACATGGTTGTAGTATGAAACCGCCTAGCTATCATGAGGTCTGAGTCCCGATGGAGAAGCTTGAAAAGATACACACTAAGAAAATTATGAGTGAAAATGAGGCTGAAAAGAAAACATATGGATGTTCCTGAATAGCAGATGGATGGAGGGACAGAAAAGGAAGGACACTAATAAATTTCTTAGTGAATACTCCCCGAGGAAGTATGTTCCTTGAATCGGTTGATGAGTCTAGTTGTTCACATACCGGTGATAACATGTTCATTTTATTTGACCGTTTCATCAAACAAGTCGCCCTGCGTGACGTTGTTCAAGTTGTCACAGATAGTGCTAGCGACAATGTTTTTGCTGGCAAGCTTGTGGAAGAGAAATACCCACACATCTATTGGACTCCTTGTGCATCGCATTTCATAGATTTGATATATGAAGACATCTTCAAATTGCCACATTTAAAAAGGACACTTGATAAGGCAATCACGGTGAACACATATATTTACAATTGTACTTTTCTACTTAATATGATGAGAGAGTTCACCGGGCAAAAGGACATGGTGAGGCCCACAAGGACTCGATTTGCCACATCTTTCATTACCCTAAATTGTTTTAAGGCTAACAAGAGGAATTTAAAAAAAAATGTTCACTTCTGAACAATGGAACAGAAGCAAGTTTTTAAAGTTGGATGGAGGCATGCCCACGACAAATACTATATTTACAACTAACTTTTGGAAAAATATAGATATTGCAGTGAAATTTGGTTGTCCGTTTTTAAGTGTGCTTCGGTTAGTTGATCATGAGAGAAAGCCTCCAATGGGTTACATATATGAGGCGATGGATAGAGAAAAAGAGACAATTGATCAGGCTTTCAAAAACAAAGAAGATAAGTATGAAAAAGTCTTCAAAATCATTTACAAAAGGTGGAATTGCCAATTGCATCAACCTTTGCATGCTGCTGGGCATTACTTGAATCCGGCCCTGTATTATGAAAATACGAATGTGGAAAATGATGATGAAGTGATGAGTGGATTGATTTTGTGTATTCATAAATTAGCATTGAACGAGGACAAGGAGAGATGAAGTTTCATGTCGAGCTCCCAATACATCGAAGTGCACAAGGGATCTGTTGACAAGTCTGCATCGAGTTGCAGAGGAAGATGTTTAATAGATGAGGATGATGACAATAACTTGGGTGAAGTAGAAAATGATGTAGCTGCTTATAAAGATTTTGAGCCGTCATCTGTTCAAGACGATGATGAGCCTGTCTATTTAGATCTAGATGATCTTTGATTTGGATTTTTGAGTTTAGACTTGCCTTTTTTTATTTATGTTTAAAAACTAACTTCTAGTTGATTACAATCGGCTACAAACATGTCTAAAAAACTAATATGGTCAAGTTATTTGGATAGTTTAGTGGTTTGATTGCTTATTTACGGGTTATAATAGCTATAATAGTTATATAATAAATATTTTTTAATATTTTTATACCTATCGCTAAATATGAAATAGCGGTCGCTATTTACCGCTATTCGCTACGTAGCTTATATAGGTGGCCCGTCGCTATTTACCGCTATTCGCTATCGATAACTATGTTGAAGATATCAATAGGATATGTGTTCAAAAATCTAATGGACTGCTTGATGTACAAAAAGAACTCTGTGATGACATTTCAAAATCAAGTTCAGTTCAAGTTCATGATGATTCTATATACACCTTAATGATAGAGCATGCAATAGCCCGAAAAAAAAGTCTTTATAGTTCTCGATGATATTAGTAGTCTTGATCAGTTAGATGCTTTACTTGGAAGAAAAGGTTTTCATCCAAGAAGCAAAATCATAATAACTACAAAAAACGCATGGTTGATAGAGAGTTGTGTACTTTTCAAAAAGGACATTAAACCCAAGCATGCAATATACGAGCTTAAAGTCTTATCTGAGATCGATTCACAAAAACATTTGTGTTTTCATGCATTCATGTGTAGTGATCCCAAGGATGGTTATGAAGATGTGTGAAAAAAGATTGTAAAGTATTGTGAAGGACATCCAAAGGCACTTAAAATTTTGGGTAGGTCTTTACATAATCGAGATGTAACTTATTGGGAGGGATACATAGATAGGCTAAAGAAAGAAAATGATTCCCACTACTAGAAAAACAGCCTTTTACGATGCGCAAATGTGTGTCAAGGAAGGCCCTGTCATAACGAGAAACGACACGCTTTTGCGCGGCGTCGACGCACATTTACGACGCACAATTACGACACGCATTTACGACGCTCATTTACGACACGCAATGTGTATCAAGGAAGGCCCTGTAATAAAGGATGACGACACGCATTTGCGTGTCGTAACCTTACGACGCGCGTTTAGGACACACATTGTGTATCATTATAGCCCCTGTCATAAATGAAGATGACACGCATTTGCGTGTCATAAATTTCAGCAACCATTTACAATATACATATACGACGTGCCTTTACGATACTCTTTTACGCATAATACAAAAATATAGAAAAAAAATATATGCCAAAACAATCAATTTCATCCGATAACATCATGTCAAAAAATTGTAATACATTGATATTAAAGGGATTTGATTGTACATTGTTATTAAGAGGTTTTCTCTAACTATATAACCTAATACTACATTGCTATTAAGGGGCACCTTCTTGTTTCAGATATCATGTCCACATCATAAGCTATATTGGTCTTTTCTTTTTTAACAATAAGCGCCACAACAGTTAATGTATCTCTATCTCCCCCTTTCTTTGTAGCTTGGTCAAGAACATCATCTCCACCCTACAGAGTAATGAAACAAAAATAATGTAAGAGAGAAACATATAGTCTAAATGATTCAAAACATGTGAATTTAACTATCCTTACAAAACATGTGAATTGTCGGATGAATAACGTTTTTACTCCTGTTTAACAAACAATAGGTGGTTGCTAGATGAATAACGTTTTTACAAAACATGGGAATTTAACTATCCTTACAAAACATGTGAATTTAACTATCCTTATCGAGTCCTAACTTTTAACAAGTTTCTCCTTATTCACTTTTTGAAATATGTTTTTTTAGTCACTATTTTCCCACCATTTTCTGTTTTATATATATAGCTTCATATTTGCTTATTATAGCATCTCACTTCTAAATCAATCTATTACAACATTATACTTATAATTTAGTGAACTTTTCATATTATAATAAGAAGAAATGGAAGTGTATAGCTATAATAAACAATCAAAAGGAAAGTGTGTTGCCATTTGGTATTACCTGATCATGGAAACCAGCAGGATCAGGTTTAGAAGATTCCAAAGCACTCATGTCATCCCTGCCTGTTACTATATGACTAGCCAGATGTTTCATTAAATAATAAAATTGAAATAAGTTGACATCCAAAATGTTGTCTAACAAAAGTTAAGAACAACGGACATGAACATGAACTAACCTTTTTGTCTTTTTGTTGTCTGACAAAATTATCCTTACCAGCAGGTAGTCCAGGGGAGGAAGAAACTGATGGGTTCCTAGCAACTTCAACAAGTTGTTGAAGCGCCTCAGGAGCATCATGCCTTGTTGCTATAGAGACACTACGCTGCACAATGTTGGAAACTATCTCTTTGATAGCTCGATCCATATACATTGGAAGCACGTTGTAAAACAATGATAAAGTAAGTTAGGTAAACTCTAAAACACTTTTGGTTGTTTCCTTTTTCCCCATTAAGCCCTGCATAGGTAAAGTGATTGGATGGGTGATAATGTCTGTTTGGATAAAGTGATGTATGCATATAGCTTGTTTCTTTTCTAGACTGAATAAATCGTCTGGATTAGACTAAATGACCAATTTACCCTTGCATTCTAACAAACTATTTCCACAACATTCTTACACTCGATTTTTATACTAATGTATGTGCCTGTCATTTATTTGATTTCTTATAACAGTTACATGACTTAATTATTTTATACGCCTGTTTATAGAAAATTAAGGCCATAAATACTTTTTGTACCTGGATTGGGAAATAAATTATCGCCATAAACATCATTTGATATGCAAATCCTGCTGCGTAACATAATTGGATAGTAGTTAATGATTTTAAAGCCAAAGGTCATTCTAAGAAACATTATGTCACAAATAGAGTGAAATGATGCTTTTTTTTTACTGTAACTATAATCTAGAAAGTAGAAACTAACTAAATCATTTTTTTATCGGTTATGATTGTATCTATTGTATCTATTTTCAGTGATTTATCGGTTATGATTGTATCTATTTTCAATGTAGTATGTACACTAAACTCGATTTTCATGCCCTGAACTTGGCTTCTTTTTTGCTGATATAGTGCAGCCATGTGAATATTTTTTTTTTTTCTGGAACTAAAATCAAACCTAATTACAAATCCAGAATCTAAATGATATCAAAACTAACAATTAATAAATTATTAGCCAACAACCTTACCTACCACACATGAACACCAGAATGATCAGAAATCGGATCGAGCTAGCAGGATTATTTTTTATAAACATGAGGTCAAAAAGGTCATTTTCACAAATTTAACGAAAGGGCTGTTTACTTGGACAAAAAAATGTTAAGAAACAGTAAAATAGGAATAAAAAATGCAAGAAGGTTCTTTTTTTGAACCATATCCAGAAACAGAAGTCATAAATTATAACAGAGGGGCCAAATATGTGTAATTTTAAACACTTAAATGAATTAGCTGAGTTATTTTAAGGATTGCTTACCCAAATAAGCTGCTTTCGGATAATTCTGGGCACTTGATCTCAGGCAAATTGCAAATATCGGACCACAAATTCATCTGTTCTATGTACAAACAGAACATTTTCTCTCGAAGATGCTCTAAAGCAATGTTATCAATATTTGTGCCACTTTCAATTTGATTGATGGAGGATACCATTAGGATCTGCCATTTTATATATATGTTCAGGAATTAGGAGACATTTTCAACTTACATAATAATCTTTTTATTTGTAATTTTTACTGCATCCATGTAATCATTTTATTCCTTCAATAAGATCCTCACCACCCACCAAATCAGCTCCTGCAGCTCTACCCTCATCTGCAACTGGTCCATCAGCAAACAATGCCACACGCAAGGCCTGCAAATAAAAATAGCTTACAAATTTTGAATAGCCAGCAACTCCTAATGTCCGTTAACAGAAAAAAGAAGCAAATTCTTATTAGTAAATACGAAAATGTTATATGAAATGAGACATGAAATAAAAATAGCTTCAGATTTGCATTTTCAACATCTAATTCTATTAAACGAACAAAAATCATTGAACCAACTATTAGTTTATTAAATTGCAATATTCATTCTGGCTAATATTCAATGACCAACAATGAAATTCCCAAAATACCCTTTAAAGTTATGAACATGTATTATTCACATTTTGATCCTACATGAAATAGGTGGTAATGCGAAAAGAAGCCTAACTACTGATGAAGGGAATTCAAGTCTTTTTGTATGGGACAAAAATTACAGTTGGATGGCAAATAAAACTTACATGTCTTCTAAGCTATGCAGTTATCGCGGTCAAAATTTCAATAGCGGTCACATGCCGCTATTTGAAATTGCGGTTATCGCGATGGTATAGCGGTGATATAGCGGTTTTTTAATATTACATATAATTTATAATTTTATATCATTTTTATAAAGAATTTATATATTTGAGTATTAATACTATAAGTCTATATAGAATTAATATCATCAAACCTAAAAAGTCATATAAAAACATAACATAATATTCTATTATAGTAATATGGAAACTAGGTAGTGTCAATGTGTCAAATAGAGTTTAATTGCATTGCACGGGTTCAATCTCGTATTAGTAGGTCGTGGTTGGTTTAAGGAGTTAAGTCCCAAGTTATAGCCTCATTAGCGTGGGTTGATTTAGAAAAAGCATTAGTGGAGTCCGACAATAGCAGCTCAAGTCGTCGTGGGTACAGAAAGAGATGAGAAAGAGAGTTGTCAGTAGATGTAGTTGCTTTAAATGCTTTTAATTTTGTTAGTTGTTTGGGCTTTTTAAAATGAAAGTGTAGTGAGATCATTAAAAATAGTTTTTCATTGACA